AGCCCGCCACAGTCTCCCGCCAATGGCCGGGTCTCCCCTGGCCCACAGAGCCCCTTGCCGAGCGGCGCTAGGGTCTGTGCGTGGGCTCGCTGGACTGGGAGCGTGGCGCTGCGTTCTGCGGACTCGGGAAGGAGCCCCTCACATCGCGGGAAGTGTCTCTACAGGGTGTTGCACGCTGCAGCTGCAAGCTTGTGTGGAGACAAGACCTTCCTGTCATCACTTCTACAGGCCCCTCATTTCCTCTTTCCACTCGTGCAGCAGCTCCCATCTGCCCCCTGACCCAGGTCACCCTGCCTTTCGAACCCTTTCAGTGGCTTCCTAGGCTCTTCCTCGTGCCTAACTCTCTGCTTGTCGCTCTTCCCCCTTCCTTTGTCCGGCTACCTCTTGTACCTCCTACACTGCTGCGTTTGGAAAAGACTTCCTAATGCATCCACAGCCTTCGCTTCCCTCTTCCACGTGCTTGAACGCCAATTCTTCCACAAGAGTACATGTTCTAACAGGTACCAGCAAGATGAGGTTACTGCTACCAGCCTTTTGCTAAATCCTGTAACTTAGATTAGTGCAATTTATCACACTCTGCCAAGGCCAAATATCTGCATCAAATTTTGCATAAGTGAGAGTGAAAGAACCTCAGACTAATTTTGTGATGGGTTGGGGAACCCAAACTAATTTTAATGTATGTAGTTATGAATTCCTGTATTTTGTCATTAATAACATACATAGTATGTTATGTCAGACCTAAGGTCCATCTAGCTCAATATTCTGTCTGACTGATTAATGCTAGGTGAACCAGAGGGAATGAACAGACCAGGCAATCATTAGTGATCCATGGCTGTCACCTGTTCACAACTGCTGAGAGTCTAGGGCTGTGGACACCAACAGGTCGATCACAAGGCCTTGACCAGTTGATTGTGAGGCGTCCTGCCCGCGGGGGGGCCCCCCCATTTCCCCACTACCTACCTCAAGTGAAAATGGAGGTAGTGTCAGCTTCCCAGAGATGGACAGAAGTCCTGCAACTTAGCTCCACTTCCAGCGATTCGGGGGGGAGAATCCTGGGAGGAGGCAGATGCAGGGGACCCTCTGCCTCCACTCCCCTCCCCGCCCCCTGTCCCCACTGCCCAGTTCTCTCTCTCCAGCCTCAGAACTCCCCGCTCCCCTGTCCCCAGCTACAGAACTGTCCCCATTCCCATCCCCACTCTCTGAACTCTGTCCTCATACCCCTGTCCCAAGCCACAGAACTCTGTCCCCACTGGCACCCTGGCCCCTGCCAAAGCACCCGCTAGCACCCTTCCCCAGTACTATGTCCCCTGTTCCCACCAACACAGTTGGGGCCACATTAGTGAAGCTGGGGGGGGGGATTGGAGGAGGTTTTTTTTGCATCTCTGCATCTCACTTGTGTGGCCCAAACTGACTTTCTTGGGTCAGTGACCCCTGACTCAAGACAGGTTCCCTGCCCTTCTCAGAAATAAAGACAATGCAGAAACTTTGTTTGACACAGTATTTTATTTAAAAATGAAGCCTGGCCAACAAACCCCAAATTGGGGCCAAGCCCCCATCTGGCCACAGCATCATAACACTCCTGCACTCCCCTTTTCCCCCAGACCCTACATCAGAGCCTATCATACACTGGAACCCCCTGCCCTGAGCCCCTCAATACTCCAACCCAAATTCCTGAACCCTCACATCCAGAAGTCTGTGGCTTGCTTAGTACCCTAACCCTACATCTGACCTCAACACTGCCTGGCCTGGCGCCCTCTCTCCAAGCCAGTGTCCCCTTATCCACCTTCTCCTGCATCCAGATTTCCTCCCAGAGCTTGCACCTCTCACCCCTTCCCAAACTCAAATCCCTCATTTCTACCCCAGAGCCTACACATCCTGTCTCAACCCAGCAAGGTTACGGCTAGACTGCAGGAGTTTTTCAGGATTCTGGAGATATCCCAGAAAAATGCTTCTGCATCCAGGGATGCATTTGTTGAGCAAACATGATGTTTCGGTCACCTCTGTATTCCTCTTTCCACAAGGAATAAGGGGGCTTCCAAAAAAGGGGGGTTTTCTGACATTTGGTCCAGTCTAGATAGGCCAAATGTTGGAAAAACCTCTTCCTACAGAAGAATTGGGAGAAAAAAAATCAGCAGTATAAGGGTTAGGGATAGCAAATGATGTAGAGGAGGGAATGTCGAGAGGGCGGGGCTTCAAGGAAGGGGCGGTAGATCTTTGCTTGTTCTGTCATTTAAAAAGTGATCTTGAGTGTGAAAAGGTTGGAGACCACTGGTCTAGGGACAACATTCTTGCCCATCCTGGCTAACAGCCACTGATAGACCTATACTCCATGAATTTATCTAGCTCTCTTTTGAACCCTGTTGTAATCTTGCCCTTCTCAACATCCTCTAGCATGGATTTCCACAGGTTAACTGTGTTGTGTGAAGAAGTACTTCCTTTTTTTGTTTTAAACCTGCTACCTATTAATTTCATTTGGTAACCCCCTGTTCTTATGTTATGGGAACAAGTAAATAACTCTTTCATATCCTCCCTTAATTGTCTCTCTCTTTCAAGCTGAAGAGTCCCAGTTTTATTAATCCCTCCTAATATGGCAGCAGTTCTATACCCGTAATAACATTTGTTGCCCCTTTTTTTAAATTCTTTCCAATGCCATGATACCTTTTTTTGAGATAAAGCGACTATGCAGTATTCAAGATATGGGATAGTCTCTCATTTTCTATCTCAAGTTACAAAGAAGAAAATACATTTGTTTGCTTTATTTAGTGCCTATGACTATGTGATTCCTGCAATGGAAAAGGCCATAGTGAAAACTGATATTCAGATCTCCCTCCCTTCTGGATGTTATGGCAGAATAGGTAAGTTAGCAGACTTCTATGAAACAATTCACTTGTCATCATGGCTTGTCTTGAGACTTAAGTCTCCATGCAGAAATTGCACCATTTAACTGTGTCTGTTTCTATATGTATTTAGTTAAATGGATGCCATTCTTATTCAAGGATGTTCTTAAACCAGTTCGAGTGGCTGCACAAGAGGATTGTACCCATTAACAGGGCTCGCCAAACCGTGACGAGCCCCACTCGCCAGCCACGCTGTCCGGTGATCTGTGCATGCGCAGATCGCCCGAACCCAGCTCTTCTGGGTTACAATCTACTTGCCACAGGCGAGGAGATTGTATTATTTGTCGAGCCCTGCCCATTAAAGTAAAATCTTCATAGAAGTGATTGTGGCTAAATGGTATAGTTCCTCTGTATAGACTAAATACTACTGGACTCATTTTAAATTAGCTCGGGCCTGGTACCCTAGTTAAATAAGCTGCTTACTCATTTACCACATCTTTTGGAGAACTGGAGGATGATTCATAATAAACTTCATAAAATATTTTGCTAAGAAAAATGCTATATAGCTAATTTGTGTTAATCTAGAACCTCCATATTTTTTTTCTATGTAGTGCCTAGTGATGTGTAGCATTACACACCTGCTGGGCCAGTTACACAAGACTGAAAATGATGTAAAATGGGAGGGGTCACAAAATACCTTTCAAATACTGTATTTGGTTAAAAATAAAATATTTTAAATCTCAATATTGAAAAATAAATAAAAATACAGTACTACTTAATTTGCACACCTTAATGGAAATAACTTGGATTGCTTTTGGTAGGCATGATACATTAATTGGTATTATTCAGGTTATTACTGGAACATAAGCACTTTCAGAATTCCCTTAGATTCCTCACCAAGTTATAGACATAGAAAACTTGTATAATCTAACATAGCTATTTCTTCAGCAAGGTGGTAGGATAAATGTTTCTGTTTTTAAATATTTGAGTTGCTTTGAGTTATAAGTACTTCAGTAATGGTTGCCTCATCACACAAACTTTTATAGTTGACACTAGCGGTAGTTCTTCCCGGTAACAATTGAGGTATTTCCTTAGGCTTGTCCTACTGTTTTTCATTCTTTATAGAATCATAGAGCTGGAAGAGATCTTAGAAGGCCATCAGATCCAGCTCCTTGCCCAAGGCAGGACCAATTCCAATTAAATCAACCCAGACAGGGTTTTGTCAAGCCGGACTTAAACACCTCTAGGGATGAAGACTCCACTACTTCCCTAGGTAACCCATTCCAGTGCTTCACCACCCTAGTGAAATAGTTTTTCCTAATATTCAATCTGGACCTCTCCCACCACAACTTGAGACCATTGTTCTGCCTTCCATCACTACTGTGAACAGCCTTTTTCCAGCCTCATTGGAACCTTCCTTCAGGAAGTTGAAGGCTGCTATCAAATTCCCCCTTCATTCTTCTCTTCTGCAGACTAAATAGACCCAACTCCCTCAGCCTCTCCTCGTAGGTCATATGCTCCAGCCTCCTAATCATTTTGGTTGCCCTCCGCTGGACCCTCTTCAATGCATCCACATCTTTCCTGTTATTGGGGGCCCAGAACTGGACACAATACTCCAGATGTGGCCTCACCAGAGCCAAGTAAAGGGAATAATCACATCTCCAGATTGACTGGCAATGTTTCTCTTAATGCAACCTAATATGCCATTAGCCTTCTTGGCTACAAGGGCACACTGTTGACTCATGTCCAGCTTTTCATCCACTAATCCCCAGGTCCTTTTCTACAAAACTGCTACTTAACCAATTGGCCCCCAGCCTGTAACAATGCTTGAGATTCTTCCATCCCGAGTGTACGACTCTACACTTGTCCTTGTTGAACCTCATCAGATTTCTTGTGGCCCAGTCCTCCAATTTGTCTAAATCACTCTGGACTCTATCCCTGCCCTCTAGCATGTCTACCTCTCCCCCTAGCTTAGTGTCATCCGCAAACTTATTGAGGGTGCAATCCATCCCTTATCAATATAATTATTTTGTGCACATATTACGTAGATTTATAAGTAGTAAAGGGCAGAGTATACTGTAGTCAAATGTGCAATGACATCAAAAACTCCAGCAGCCATCTCAATCAGAAAATGACTACTTAGTGTTTCTAACACAGCTTAATAAATCCTCTAAGAAGAGCGATGGTACCTTTCTTTCATACTGAGTCAATTAAAAAACTTATTGGAAAATGGGTGAAACTTGAAATGGGGCTTAAATCTTACCTAGTAAATGAGCAAAGCAGCCTAAAGTAAAGCTTTAGCAACATTTATAATAAGAACTGTCAATTAACATGTGTTACTAGATTGCAGGCTATACCAGAATTGCAGTTTTAAGTGAACTAGGTATATTATTTTGTGTAAATAAGAATACATTTGCTCTATAGCTGACTTCTGTGGTTGATTACCATGGAATGTGTTTAAATAAGAAGGGCCAAGGATTAATATCCGCGTCCATACTCTGAAAAGCCATCTAGTAGTGTTTCAAGATAAACATGTTTCAGATAGTTTAAACTATCACACACCCAATTCATTTAATTTGCAATCTCACTATAGCCTTTAACTATTGATTTTTGTAACTTTCTGCAGCTATATAATGACGCTGTAAATTTCATAGGAGTACATGTAGGTTTTGAAATGCAGTAGGACAGTTTTTGGTGGTGGGATTTACTAGTTTTTGGTAACCTATTGTACATACAATGCATACTAAAATTCATTTTCAGCAAGTTTTCTTCAATGTTGAAAAATGTTTTTGATTTTTCTAGCCCCACGTTCTGGATTAGCTGCAAAACACTTCATAGATGTTGGTGGTAAGATGTTTATATTCCTTATACAATCTCTATATGACTTTTTTCTGTCAGATTGATACTAAAACTATAAAATGACAACTACAGATTCATTAATAATATTACTTTTAAGGGTTTCATTAAAATAAATGGAAATGGTGATTTAAGATTTTTCAATCATATACTCATCCCAGTATCTAAGTTCCCAAACTATTTTGGACTGAAGTTTGCTTAAGGCTTGCAGTTTCTTACCATTCTTCCAGATCGATTCGGATTGATAGAAGGGAAGTTTAGTCATATTTTCAGGCTCCAATAAATTCATAATTCTGTTCTAATCTGTGTATTGATTTTTTTTTTCCAGATGAAGAAAATAGTAAACAAGTGGTATTCTCTCTAAAGTAATGAATGATATAGCCAGTGTGGAATGGGCCAAATGCCTGTCTAACAAGCATTCGTCAACCAAATGATAACAATAGAACTAAATACAACATATTTCCCTGTATCTCTCAAGTTTAAATAAAGCACAGGACCAAATTCAACTCTGTAATGAGCCCATTTACATTAGGGTTGAATTTAGATCTTTTCACAACCTCCTCCTGCAGTTCAATTGTTTACTGTAGGTAAATGCTAGGAATGACTCTAGTAATTCTCCTAGTATTTTTTTCTTGTTCTGCATGATCCAGGCTTTCTAAAAGGGCTTGCTACTTTGCACTTTCAGCTAACTACTGACTTTCTTTTATATCTGAAGTCCCTATTTGTTTTTTTTATTAAAACTAATTGTTCTATTCTTTCCTACTTATTTTTCTGCCCATAACTTTAAAACAAAACTATAAACATCTCAGAATTTTAGACCTAATTTTAAATGCCCTAAGTTAGTCATCCTTTTATTACTGTTTTTAGTACTTCCATGTTCTTTTATTAATTCAGTGCTTTTGATGCTTTGGCAGTAGTCTTAATCACACTATTTAGCGATAAATTATAATAGTCAAAATGTTGGCTGTTTTGGACAAGCGCAGTTTCGAAACGGAAACTGTGGCTTAGCCACGGTTCTGCCGACAGTGGGGTGATTTTTCGACAGATCCCATATTCAAAAAATGAGGAGTACAGGAGCTGTCTAAAAATCACCCCACTGTTGGCAGAACCGCGGCTAAGCCGTGGTTTCAGTTTCGAAAGGGCGCTTGTTCAAAACAGCGTCCGAATGTGATTATGCAAAGGAAGTGCAGGATATTTAAATGCCTGCTTCATTTGCACTTCCGATGTGTCTAATTTACATCCCTATGCTGACAGAGGGGTGCACTTTAGACACGGCATAAGTGATGTTGTAAAACTAAGTAATAGTCCAGAAATTTAGGTCATATTTAAAAGCCATTTAGATATTATGTTCACATACTCAGTGTAGTAGGGCCTAACAAATTTCAGAGCCTAAATCCCATCAACTTCCAATGGGATTTATGCTCTTAAATCAATTATGTACTGCTATACTGAGTGCAGAAATACCTTTAAATATCTGGACCATAGTGCTTTGTGGTAAATAGTAAAAGCTTATTTGTGTGCACCATATACACTCAATCATCCTACCACATTGCTTCCATTCAAAAAATGCTCTGAATTAGCTGATGTTCTATTTAAAGAAGAATTTCAGCAAGGCTAATTAGATTTTTATTTTCATATATTACAACCAGGCTACCTTTTCCATGCCAGTGTTCATAGATACTAATGTGGTGGGGTCTTTTTAGTTTATAATCATTGCAATTTAGACTTGCATTAGGATATTCCAATAATTTTAATATCAACTCTAAGTATATCCATACATACGCTAATGTGCTGAAGTGTAACTACTGATTTAAATTAATATTTCATGACTTTTTCATCCTTGATATTCATATATTGCATTTTTAGATGCAACTTTTAATTACTCCCTTTATTACAGCTGGAGTCATTGATGAGGATTACAGAGGAAATGTTGGTGTTGTACTTTTTAATTTCGGCAAACAAGATTTTGAAGGTAAGTGTTAGATTGGGGAAATCTGTATTTAAGGTTGCAATCAGCCGTCTAAACTTGTTAGTATTCCTTAACAAAAACTAAAGCCCTTAATTGTTAACTCAAGGTTACGTGCATATGCTTTCCTGTTCAACCAGTAATGTATAGAAAATCAAATCCTTGTCCACACCTTACAACATGCAACCATGAAGTCTTCTACTCCCAATATAACAGTGACATGGATAGACTTTGTAGCTCCAGCCCTAAGCTACCAGCTCTGAACTGGGGCAATTTTTTCATCAGGCAAATTTCCCTATGGCTCTCCAAAAGAGGAATCCCAGTCTGCTGCATCCAACTGTGACCATAGTTTGGAATGATGAAGACGTTTCTAGAACTGGGAGGGGAGGGGAGAGGAGAGGAGAGATTTTACCGTCATCTATTGTGTCTTCCCTCTCCATACACACACAGATACTCACCTCTCCAATGCTTTACTGTCCTACTTCCCCGTGTCAGAGTCCGTGGGGATTATTGTTGTTTAGCTAGAGAAAAGTAAAGGAAGGTGAGGAAAACATGGTTGCATTTCCAAAAGGGAGTACTTAATGCATAGTCTACAAAAGTTAAATCTGTTTCTTGAAAACTTGCATTTCTGAAATTACTAGACATGTTAAAGTATAGCTGATTAACCATTTAACCGATAAGCTGATGCTTATCGGTTAATGGTCTTGGTTAAACTCAACAAGCTCCCAGGGAGGAGGCTTTGCTGCTGCAGAGTAGCCGCCTCCCCAGGAGCTAGGCTAGGGGCCCCACTCCCAGGGAGACTTGGCTGCACAGATAACTATGTAACCACTGAGATTTTCAGCCATTGCACAGTTACCCTACTATACAGTTTAATATCCCTAGAAGTTACTCAACTAAATTTGTTAGTATTGAGAAGTTGAGTGCACTTTAGTCTTGCTTAAAGTGCAAATTTCTGTACATAATCTAAATTCAAATCGCTGTAGATGATTGCCTACATTAAATTTGAAATTTAATGTTAATGATAATGTTTTATGGGCGTGTTAAATATGGAGATTGATGTTAAATTGGACTTGTTGCTTTAAAAAAAAAAAATTAACTTCTCTCTCAAGTTAAAAAGGGGGACAGAATTGCCCAGCTAATCTGTGAACGCATCTTCTATCCTGAGCTGGAAGAAGTTCAAGTAAGTTACTGGAATGAAACATTTGCATTTATTCTATGACTGTACAGGAAGAGTTGTATTTGATCTCAAATTCAGAGAACAAGTTAACTTTTGGAAAAGCAATTTACTTCCATTGCTGTCTGTAACATGTAAGTTACCATTGTTTAAAATAAAACTGCAGATATTTTCCTTTAACACTTAATTGTAAGACATTACAAGTCTGTTGGAGAGGCAGATGATGTGAAGAATTTAAAATCTGATTTGTAATTCTTTTACTTAAACTTTGGGATTTACTAGAAATTTAGGATGGTGTCACAAATTACAGAACTCTAAGCAGACAGCAACATATTAACAACTATTGCAATTGACCATGTCAGTACAGGAGACGAAATGGGGCATTAATCCTACCCTGAACAACCAATTCAAAGAAATAAGATGAAGAAAAGGTTGATGCATTTTTCTTGGAGATGAGCTATTAGTTTTAAACTACTGAAAATAGCACACTGACACACCTTTAAAATATATTTTTACAATGTCTTACATGTCCAAAATAGTCTGTTCTGTTGACTCCTGAACGTTAGTCTAAAAACTTGTAGCTTATTTATGCATTTAGTGCAGAAAAGGTCTGTTCTACAAAATAAAACACTTTTTTTCTCTCTAATGGAAGATGAAGCATACAAAAAACCAAATGGGTATACGTTACAAGTATAAGTTATTAGAAAGTTAACCTTATTAATCTCTCTTTCAGGCTCTAGATGATACTGTACGTGGCACTGGCGGCTTCGGTTCCACTGGTCAGAATTGAAGAGAGATGTTAGATGTAATTAATTGTTGTATTTGGATTTTGATTAAAGGTTTTTTTTGTAAAATGTCTTTGAAGAATTGTTTCAAAGGGGGATTGGGATTTTAGGATCTGGGAGAGTAAGGGACTTTAACTCAAGCATTGTATGAGCATCTACACATCTCTCCCTTTTGCCCACTTCCAAACTGATAGCAAGTGATGTTGAACAATGTGTTGGTTTGCAGTACAGAGAAATCTGCACAAGATATTTGACACAAGTTAACGTCTTGGATCCTGCATTAGTGTGTCTATTGTATTGGAAATTTACTGGTGCTATTAAATTGTCACCTGTGTTCAAGATAGCTTTTTTTTTAATAGTTTCAGATAAATATTCCTTTGAAACAAAAGTATGTGAGGCTACCTTGCAATAGTGAAGAAAAACAAAATTGTTTTAAAGTGAGTTGTCTTACACTCTAATACTATATAGATTAATAGAAAAAATTAGTATTCAGCAATCAGTACTTCTGCAGTCTTAAGTCTACCTTTCCAATAAAAGTTTGACTCTCAAACCAATGAAACATTGAAAAGATGCTTAAATCCTTAAGTCTTCCATGTAAATAAACCCATAAGACTTCAGTGTAATGCTCAGAAGACTTTTCTTTCATGTTAGAGAAATATAATCCCCAAATGCTATACAGATGACAAACTGTCATTCAGCATGCAACAAACAGAAGGTTTGTTAGGCTACATGTCCATTACAACTGAAAGTCGACTTAAGCTACGCAACTCCAACTATGTGAACAACATAGCTGGAGTTGATGTACCTTAAAATTGAGTTGCAGTGGGCTCTACTCTATGGTGGGTCGATGGAAGAAACTTTTGTTGACTTCCTTTACTCTTCTCATCCAGTGTAGAGTAACAAGGTCAATTTTAACTAGAGCTGCCAAATTGACCTTCAGTGAATTAATCTCAGAACTTCAATCCAGGCTGTACTGTAGATGTAGCCTTAGGGCTTGTCTTCACTACGCTGATGCTTGATGCTGCAGTGATCAATCCACTGGCTGTCAATTTATTGCATCTGCTTAGATGTGATTAATTTCTGAGTGCTCTACCAACCCTGTCAGTACTCCCCTAGGATGAGAAGAGTAGCTGTTGTCAATGGGAGAGCAGCTCCCGCCAACCTTACTCACTGTAGTGTCTTGCATGTGGTATGTCAACTTCAGCTATGCTGTTTGGAAGAAGCGTTTGCTGGCACTTCCTTCTGCTCCCTTCCTCAGTTGCACGCATTTAATATTGATGCAGAGATTCTACCCTTCAGTAGTAAATCTATATGTTTCCACTTGGACTTGCCTAATTTGCTTCCAACACTACACACATGGTATAGAACAAGACTTAATAGTAAAAATGGCCATTTGCTCCCACTGGAATTTATAACAAAGTAGGGTAGCTACCCCATGTCTTTCCCATCTTCCCAATGCAGTGCCCAAATCCTGCACACACAACACAGTATTCAGCTGGATTCATTGACACCCACCTCTTGCCAATCAGATTTGGTTTGTATTTATGTAAGTATTATTCCCATCAAAGCAGGGACATTAACCTAGGACAGGGGTTCTCACTATAAATGTTTTGGTGGCCTCAGTGCAGCCACCAACTCTTGCTGGTGGCCACTCTGACAATTTTTCTGAATGTACTCAACGTATTTTAGGAAAAACACATGCACATGTGTCCTAATTATGGTAATATATTGGTCGTGTTTTTTGCATCTGCAGAATGCATATTTAATTTATTTATTTCATGTTCCTACACAAAATAGAAAAATAAGGTGCTTTGTGGGTTCCTCTATTTGTGTTTCTTGGTTGTCTCTCCATCCTTTAGATTTACTAGTGAGAGAGTCTCAGCTAGATGTCAAATGAGCTGTCCTGAAAAGTGGTTTTTGTATTTGTTAATATCACTTTTCAGGGCAGCTGACTTGACATCTAGCTGAGAGACAGTGAAAAGTGGTATTTTTCACAATAGCCATACTCAGCCTTGGTAAGCTGGGAGACATAAGTTGAGAGGCAGCAAGGGCCGGAGGTGTGGGATCAGGGGAGGCAGGGGCTTTGGAGGATTGGGAAGAGAGAGCTCCAGCGTCAGAACCCAAATCCCTGCAGCCAGGGGCTAGAGACCACTGATGCATTACTGTAGCCTGCTGCTTACCACCCCAGAATTGAAGCCCAACCCTGCTGTGTTAAAGAAAGTGGGGAATTCACACCAGCTGCCTGCTCTTCCAGCACATGTGGATTCAGAGGAGGGCAGCCCACAGAACAGGGGTACTGCCCCTCCCACTTCAATCACTGCAGGAGACTGGTTTTTCTCCAATGTGGCCACCAGTAGCTTTGTGCAGCCAACCTAATCCAATGAGGAAAGGAGCTCTTACAAGCCAGTTTAAAAATCTGGGATGTGTGGGAGCAAGTGTTAAAAATGTTAGCATATGGATTTAATCCCCTTTTAATAGTAAATTTACTGTCTTGGCTGAACAAACTTAAGGGGGATGGCTTTTGCATCACTACAGTCTACAGAAATGGTGTCAATGTTTTCTTTGAAGCCATGCTAATTAAATACAAACCAGCTTTTTAAAGAACAAGAGGCTGGACATGATAATGATACTTGCTGTGGTTCTGTTACATCAGATGAAACCTGGTTTTCAATATGTAGTGACATGAACAATCTGTACAAGCTTATGAAAGTAGTTTGTGTAATTCTGTGTTGGGCCTCCATAGTTAAGGAAAAGCTAAGGCTAGATGCGACAGGTTGCTTGAAATCTGTGGCTAATTTATGAGGAAAATCGATTGGGTGCTTTCAAGTGTCCAACTTCAAGTTATTAAATAGGCAAGGCCTGTAGGGAGAGGGTGAAAGGTACCAAGAAATCTGAGGCTCTCCTAGATATTTCATAATAAAATCACTTAAAATATTTATGCAGGATGAAAATTATCCCAATTTTTCTCTCTTCCCCCACTTCAAGTTTAGTCTGAACTTGATTTCTCAGTGTCTGGGAACACTTTAGAGGTAATGCTCTATAGCCCCAAGAGGACATTGGGTGTGGACACACAGGGTATGTCTAAACTACATCCCTTTTTCGATAAAGGGATGTAAATTAGACATATCGAAATTGTAAATGAAGCTGGGATTTGTATTTCCCTGCTTCATTTACATAATGGTGGCCGTGGCTTTTTTTCGAAAATGATAATGAGGGTTACAGGATCATTTGAAATAGGGTATTTGTCGAAAGATCCCTGTCTTGACCACTTTTTGGAAGAAAAAAACCCCAGTTTTTTAAAAAAAAAAAAGCTGTGGCCACCATTATGTAAATGAAGCATGGGAAGTTCAAACCCTAGCTTCATTTATCGAAAAAGGGATGTAGTTTAGACACACCCATAAGGAGGAATACAAAGCAGGGATGACTCCTTTACTAGTGCTCTTCAGCCTGAGTAAGTGGGTTGTGGTGCCTTTTGGAGGCAGAATTAAAGATTAATGGAAATTCTCTTGGTTAATCAAGGTCCTTTCCTCAGGGAAAAGGAAGGGAAATTATAACACAAAGATCTGGTTGTTCTCTTTCAGAAATGGTTGTACCCACTATGGCTACGTCTACACTGGAGCATTCTCACGCAAAACTTCTTTTGCGGAAGAGTTCTGCGAAAACTCTTCCAGAAGAGAGCGTCTACACTGGCATGTGCTTTTGCGCAAGAGCATCCATGCCAGGATGGCCCTTTTAACCATAGGGCTTACTTGCGCAAGAAATTCATGTTGCCTGTCTACACTGGCCTCTTCTGGAAGAGCTCTTGCGCAAAAGGGCTTCCTGAGCGGGAACATCAGAATTCTTGTGCAAGAAGCCCTGATTTTATACATTGGAACGTCAGTTTACTTGCCCAAGAACACACGGCCAGTGTAGACAGGCAGCAAGTTTTTGTGCAAGAGCGGCCGCTTTTGCATGAGATCAGGCCAGTGTAGACACAGCCATTATGGCTGTGTCTAGACTGGTAAGTTTTTCCGCAAAAACAGTTGCTTTTGTGGAAAAACTTGCCAGCTGTCTACACCAGGAAGAAGCCTACATGACCCAAGGGGTATAAAAAGAGGTTCAGCCGCCCACCCCATTTGAGCTCCAATCATCTATACCTGCTGGCAGGTATTGATTGTCTCCCGAGGTCTGTGGGACGCCCAACCTCGCCCTACTTCTTCCCGAGGGATTGAGAGAAAGACGCTGGCCACGCCAAGTCTGGAACGCAGGGGTGAGAATATATACCTGCTATGTGTCTATTTTGCATGCATTTAATAAGAGCTCAGAGAACCAAAAGGGTTTCATGGTACCTGTAAGTGACTTATTAGTGTAATTTCTGTCCTGTCCTTTGTAGTGTCTGTGTTATCTGTAACACAGTAGTAGCATTTAACAACTAAGTTTACCCTGTAACAATAAATAGTAACTGTTTAAGCTTTAACCTGACTCCTTCAGTTGCTGTAACAGAACCAAGCACAATTTAAAAGAACTTCAGCCGGTCATAAGGGACTCACTGCCCTGACCGTCGGCTGACACCGACCCCAAATATGGCGATCAGCTAAACCCTGAGCACGTGGGTAAGACTCATCAGCCAGACACCCAGAAAGTTCTCTATAGTAACTCCTATCATCCCTCCATTGACCTATTTCCCACTGATAATGAATGGTCAATTAGTTACCAAGATCATGTTATCTCATCAAACCATCCCCTTCATAAACCCATCTAGTTTAATCTTGAAACCAGATAGATCTATTGCCCCCACTACTTCCCTTGGAAGGCTGTTCCAGAACCTCACTCCTCAAATGGTTAGAAACTTTCATCTAATCTCATGTAAGAAATCAGTGCTTCTTGCGGAAATACTATGCTGCTCCTGTTTGGGCAAAAGCCCTCTTGCGCAAATGCTTTTGCGCAAAAGGGCCAGTGTAGACAGCTCAGTTTTGTTTTGCGCAAAAAAGCCCCGATCCCGAACATGGCGATCGGGGCTTTCTTGCGCAAAACCGCATCTGGATTGGCACGGACACTTTTCCGCAAAAAGTGCTTTTGCGGAAAAGCGT